CTATCACATGAGATAACTTTGATTAAAATCTGATGGAACTTCTCAGACTCGATCCATCTCTGATAGAACAACACGCATTTTGGAGAAAAGATGCTAGAAAAACCAAAAGCAATGAGACCGATGCTCGCACCTGTTTTTTTCGAAAGCTTAATTTTGCTATCTTTTAAGAAAAACATTCGGAATATTTTATTTCGAAGAGAAAAGTGTTATAAACATACATTGTTCCAATAGGTTTAAAATTCAATGCAGTGCTAATGACATCTGTTCAGGACACAACAACTCATATCATATATGATGATACTTTTTGTAAACAAACAAGTTGATTATAGAAAGAAATCAAGTTTGACAAAATAAGCAGATTCTTGTATAAAAAGGCACCACCAATCCAATAATATAGTATTTATCCTAGCAATTCTGAGGGTGCGTGGGTGGAGGACTCATTTTAGGAAAGGGATTAATCATCCTTCATATCTTCTCTCATTCCTATGTGTGATAAGTTGGAGATTTTTTATCATTAGATGTGGGAGTTAAAAAATTTACAAAACTAGTTTTCCGTGGAAGTTCGAGAACAACGAAAAAGTCTTTAAATATTATCTTAGACAACTTTCGGGAGAACGAGCCATCCCAATGAAAACGTTTGAAAACAAAAGTTCTCGAGAATGGGTCGGATCATGGGAGTAAAAGGTGTCAATAATAGTTCTAATCGGGAAATTTGAATACCAGATGGAGAGTATTCACATCTAATGTATTAACTTTCATACTATTAATTTAAGGGAAAAAGTAAAAATTCCGTACTTTATCCGTGCTTCACTGTACTCCAGGTTGGTGCCCAAAGTATTCTCTAAGACTGTTTAGGTATTTCAAGTATACTACCACTGTGTGCCATGAGCATATTTACTTGTGTGAGTTCATATTATATAAGTTTATCTGGCAATAAGGTCCAAATACTTCATTGTATTTCATTGATACTCAAATTCTGAAGTACGATGAAGTAGTTGGATTTTATTGCCAGACAAACTTATATGAAACGAACTCATACTAATATACACGTAACATATGTTGATAACAGACTTTGAAATACCTGAACAATTCTAGATAATAATATCGACATACCCATGGAGTACTCTCAAGTACAATGAAGTACCAAATTTTCGCATTTTCTCCTTTGGATTCTACGCTTGTGAGCATCATCAATTGTTTTGCCTTGCAAAATGTTCGTAAATACAAGAAAGAGTGCCACCTACGTAGATTAAAAAATGTTGAAGCTTGCTAGCTCCCTCCCCACCCCACCAATCGCCCAAACTCTTGCTTCCATCACTAGTATACAAAATGCTTGAGTGCATATGATTGCAAGCTTTTGTCTACTCTAGATTGTAAATTGGTCTGGAGCCACTAAGCAACTCGACAGAAGGAGACGATTCTCTAATTTCTGTTAGGATATGATATCAAATTAGACAAAGCTTACATGAAAGAGTTGATGTTGTTGCTGATGTAATCATGGTTGTGGTCAACGTTGTTGTTGCCGTGGTTGCGCCCAATGTTGTCGTTGTTGTTGTTGTTACAATTGATACTATGACATAAAGAAGAAAAGCAACACTTAAATAAGTATATTAATTAGCAACATAATAGTTGCGACAAAGCTTTAGTGCATTTTGAAGCTTTAATATTTGGTTCATAATTATATTTGCCATACTAAGAAGAATCGAAATCATCAAGATCTTTTACAATTTTCTCCTCAATTGGAAAAATAATATACAAGACATCAGTTGAACTTTTTGATAGATTCTTGGACTCTCAAAAACTTATGCGAACTCTTCGTGTCAACTCTTTCATTACATTCACTTTTGAGTGTTGGGTATTATCAGAATGCAGTCAGCTTTGACGTATGATAAGTAGTCAAAATTGCCAGTTCCAACAGAACCTAAGGAGGACAGTTTTAGTGTGAGGGATTGATACCACTCATAAATGTTTCGTGAAAAAATCGAGACATTACGTGTGATATGCTTTCGATTATGCATAGCAACGAAGGAGTCGACATTTTCTGGTATGGGCTAATCCAATTTAATGATATATTCACCCCTACTATGGGACTAGTTTGTTACTTTTCAAATTAATTATCGTCGATATTTGAAAATTATGTTATTGTCTGATTCATGTGAATTTGTTTCTAGACAATTAAAGAGAAAATGAGTTCAAGAGAGAATTTAGTGCACGCAACCTGGATCGATCTCCCTTATTTCTTCGCTGTTTCCGTATCTCGTCGAATTCGCTGATCGCGTAGACTATCTTACTATATTGTAGAAAAATTGGAATGAAATATGATCGATGCAATTTATTTTCAGTGTAGCTCATGGTAATTCTTGAAAATACACCTTTTGGCCGCTGTCGAACACTCACCACGTAGATAAAAAAAACTCTACTATCCTTTGCGAAGAAAATGTCACTTCACTATATTTATCAGAGATAAAATTCAGAGAGATGAATTTTTTTCAAGAAATTTACGAATTCTCTCATGTATGAAAGAAATGCAAGTAGCTTAATACAATAATTAGACTGCTTGAAGAAATGTTCATTGTGTACTGCTATATTCTTAGTGCTGCCATCTTATGATTCTCAGCTCATTTTACTGAAGTACGCCGAAGTTGAAAACAAAATATAAACACGATAATCATCATCTTGGAAAGTGCCTGAACCTCAAGCAGTTGCCACACTATTGATGCTATTTGTACTAGGTCACTAGACTTTTTTCATGTTCAAGAACTTCAACTTTCCTTAACGTTTACAAACATNCCACAATCGAGTGCACTGAATTTGTATTTTTTGTAGATTTATCTCAAAATTTTAATTACTCAACAATACACATTTACATCCGATTATTTTATAAACATCTGATTAATCGCGATTACTCATTTCGATTTTTCAGCGATTACGATTAATCGGTTTTCTTTTCAATATCACAATAAAATCTGATTTTATCGTTGATTTTTCAGCCTATTTCAATTAATCGCGATTTTACGTTCATTTTTCGAGAAATCGCCAAAATCGCGACGATTTTCACGACATGGGTTAGAATTTACAATTTCGATAATTCTTTTTTTGTTTTTACTAAACAACAGAGTTGTTGAACACATAAACGTGCAGAATAGACGAAGTATTAGTAAATTAAAAGAATAATGAAGTTCCAAGAGCAAGATTGACGATATTTTTTAGGGATTGAAAATCCGAAAATTTACTAGAAAAGTTCTTTCATCTTCGGAGTGCCAGAATTGGTAACCGGAAGGAGAAGAAAAAAATCCACCGTGACCTGGTCTCTTTCTCACAACTGAAGATCTGTTAACTAGACTGTTCCATTATTTGCTACCAGAGAAAGATGAATAATGATTCAGAATTCGATTTCTGTACAAAGTTACCACGAAAATGTAAAAAAAAATGGAAGACAGTATTAAGAATTTTAGCAGAAAGTCGGATATTTCGAAGTAGGGAAAGTCTTTTTTCTCATCTTCCTTAATTGAGAACCTGGACCAAAAAAGAAAGAATATTAGAGATCATGTGAATCGTACAAAATTTCTTGAACTTATTGACACTACTAGAAAATCATGTCGTATATTTTAGGCATCTGTTTTAAGAAGAATAAAAATTTTATCAATAGATTTATTTATTTTATTTTTATTTTTGAAAAAAAATAATTTGATATAATAGCCAATAGAAAACTATTTCTTGTAAAAGTATTCGATCAGACATCCATAATCAAATAATATGAACTGACTTTATAATTAAAGATACAATAAATAGACTTGATTTTGTGAAAAAAAATAGCTTCTATGGTAAAATCTTTACAAATTAAGCTTTCGACATTCTATTGACCTAGATTTTATTTATTTTGACTCAGAGTAAATATTTCTCTTTCGATTTATTTGAAAAATAACTAATAGATGTCATGTAACTTAGTATAACAAGAATATCAGACTCGATATCGATTACATCCTACTTGATGTTTCATCTATTATTTCTTTCTATTTTCGATTGACTGTATGTAAAATAGTAATTGATCAAAAAAACACACACTACACTCTTGTCAAGCATGATTTTTACTTAAAATAAAACACATACTATTTGATTTCTCTCATTATCGTGCTCTATTTAGAACAATCAGAATTTAACTACACTTTGGATATTCATCTATAAAAATATATAATGTTCACAAAAGCACTTTTTCTATCGTACCATGCTTAATTTTGCTTTAAAGTGTAGTTTTTCTTCCGAATTTTATCGACAGTTGTCAATACATACAGGACTGTTTAAGAGAATTGCTGGTAATAGTGTATATTATAATTTGCGTGTCAAATAGAAATGCTAGTTTAGACACGGTTAGATCCCATTTCGTCGAAAGCTTAATCAATTTTTCTGTTTCGTTGGAAATTTATTTTTCTTCCATTACTGTTTCGTCTACAACGAAAAAATGATTAGTTCCGTTTCGGCGAAAAATAAATTTTAATTAACCAATGACGAATAGATTATATCATTTCATGTAATTTTTTCGTCAAACTAATCAGGAATAGTGCCTAATTACTTGTAGATAAATTTGTCAAAATGAAAATTTATTATAGATCAGGTTTAGATACATAAATAAGAAATTGTTAAGAGAAAATATGAATATAGAAAAGGAAAGAATCAATTTTTTTTTATTCCGATTAATCGCATAACTTTTTCAAGATATAATGATATTAATTGTTCTCTGTAAATTGTTTTCACTGGTTATGGTGAATCTTCAATACGTCGTTTTAAATTCATTCTAAATTATTCTACTTTATATTTCATTTCATCACCATCATGATTATGTGAGGGTGTATATAATAATTATAAACCACCTAAAACACAACCTGAATGGAAGCAAACATGTTTTTTAGATAAATGTTTTCATGGTTATTATCAATAGTCAAAAATAATTAAATATTCAATGAATAAACGTGAACGTTATACAAAAGAACCTATGTCTGAACATGTTGAATCGATTTATGGATAATAATTTTATTAGAAAACTTATACAATATATAGTTATTGAAGATGAAAAAAATGAAACGAATTTTAATATACATCGATTTCGAATGTTTAATGTAGATAATAGAATTTTCTTTTTTTTTTAAATAAAATTTAATATTAAATATAAACATATTTAGGATCTTTTTCGAAATTTTGATTTAGATTTAATTGATCATTTTATAGAACACTTAAATATTTTAATTGATGAAAAAACTAAAGAAAAATACAAAGGTTATTACCGCGTAGCAGCTGAGATTGTTGCTGGAATGATTCGAAATACGGGACATTACAAATGATTTGTGTTTTAAAAAAAAACAAAAAAGGAAAAGAATTTATTCATAACATAAAAATCTACTCGATTTATTCTAGCTTGAAGAATTATGGCAAAAAATAATTCCATTTCTTAATGAAGTTTGCACTAATCTTAGTTGTTTAAATAATAATTGCTCTTTTTTTTTAATAAATAAATTTCTTTATCTTATAGGAAGATTTAGATCCTCGTCGAATGTATTGTCTTATTGAATTTATTCGTACATTAATAAATAATAAAACAACAGGTAATACATTTCTTGAAACATCACGTTGGTTTTTAGTTTTAAAACGAACTATTTTTGAATGGCGTATACCAACTCTATGGTGTGCTATTAATGAATATGTCAAAGAAATGCTTGACCATCCATATAAAGCTGTTCGAGAATATATTGCTAAGTAAAAGAAAATAAATCATAGGTTATAATAAATAATAATTAATTTTCCAGTTTGCATTGTGTTTTATCAGTATCACTTAGTTTCGACATTAAACTGCCCAATGGCCAATCAACACATCATCCCGATGCAAATCGTTTTATTGATACTATTCATGAACGATTACATCAAGCGATAGAAATTTACGAAAGAAAGCCATTAGGTTAAATTCTACTAAAAATTAGTCTAAATTTTCTATCAAATAATCCATTTATTAATATCAGCTTGGAATGCCGAATTTAACGAGATTTTGATATACAAAGAAAGACGATAGCTTTCTAAATTGAGATTTCTTTACCATTTTCATGTATATCCAGCAAATAAATGTCATTGGATCCCATATTTTGACTATGAATAGAACTAGGTAAAATTGTAAAAAATCCATACGAATTCGGGCTTATAGACTAGCTATTTTCGGAAAATTCAATGACAAATTTTTTAGCCATACATAAGTTTCATGAACACTAGAATATTCTAAAAATTTCAGCTCGAAGGAATGTATTCTTCTTGAGATGTTGTGTTTCTAATAAGGGAAGCCATTCGACTCTAAATAGAACTCATCGTGTAGATACAAAGTCTGAAAGGACTCTTGCCATTCAACTTTTTCTCGTGATTTATGATTATTTTTACCAAACTTTCAGTCTATTTTAGGATATGACGAGAAAAATCACAAGAAGAAATTTCATTCTTTATGATATACTGAACATACCAACTCAAATCAATGTTTCTCCTTTTGAAATAATCCGTTTGCAAAAAGAAAAATAACTTTCATAGAAGCGCTTCAAAACTATTCTAGATTTTAGTTATACAGTATCTTAAGATGAAATGATTCATTCGAGTTGAAACTGTCAGAACATAATTAGGATCATGAAAGCTATTCTTGGGCAAACAACTAAATCAAAAGAGTATAAATTGAGAAGAAAAAAAACCTAATGAATAGCTGATCCAACATCTGAAATCAAACAGTCACCATTTTTACTCGGTTATTCATGATCTCGAACAATACATATAAGTTCTTATTACGTAGATTACTATCGACATATATCACTTGCTAGTAATCATTTGGACTTGATTATCTTTTATGGCGAATATTTCTGGCGAAAGGATCGAAATTGATCAACAAGCTCGTAAAGCATTGAATTTTATTGAAACAGGTAATTCACAACACAAAAAGAAAACAAGTTTTTACATTAAATTATTTGATACAGTGGTTTGATTCCATCCATACACATATATTTATGTGGTGTCTACAACCAATGAAAAATACCCTTGTTCGAATATTTTCATATGTATATTTTAATTAAATATATTCATATTGATTTGAAACATATCTAAATACATTTTTTCTAGCTGTGCAAATTAGAAAGCATTGTTCCAATTGAAAATCTAACCATCAGTCGAATGCATGTTGCGATGAATAATTTGATACACCGACACTTGAATCTCACACGAAAAAAATTTAAAATAATACAAAAACAATTTATTTGAAAAAAATTCAAATTCACATGAATAATTGAACACAGCTCTGTCTCCTTTGAAGCACAAGTCTCTTATTATCAAACGAAAAATAAGTTATTTTTTGTAATTTTTTCCTTCAAAAGTCAAACTTATGCATATTTCTTTAGTTTCACAAGTTCCGCTTGTAATTGTTCGACCAATATCAACTTCGCATACCGTATCGCTTTGAAATACGTAATAGATTCACAAGTTGATGAATTTCCTGGTGTTGGATTCAGGACAAAGATGGATTAGCTATTCTATTGAGGAAAACACATAAGCAATTAATAGTAGTTTAATATCTCGGCGCTAGCATTCAAACGGATGTAAGTGTGAATAAGAACTATCTTCAATTATTCATGTGAATTTCAATTTACTCAAATAAATTATCTTTTTGCACTGTTTAAAATTTTTTCAATGTGAGACTCAATTGTCGGTGCACTCAACTGTCGGGTCACCGAATTATTTACATACACTGTTTCTTGAATCATTGATTGAACAATTAGAACAAGTAAATACATATTGAATTAAAAGAAAGAAAAAAAATTATTTTATTTTTTATTCCGAAAAACAAAAACTAAAGGTTTGCACAAGTTCAAAATGGTATGCACGTCGAGTAGCTATGAAATTTGTACAATATATGCTCTTTTGTAATCTATTCAATGCTCGACCATATAAAAGATGAATAGGTGAACTTAGTTTTAAATGTTTATTTGATGAACAATTGAAAGTTCGTTCAGTTGCATCGATTACATTATCAGGATTTTATCAATATGGATATATTCAAGTTAATGAAGAAGATTTTGTAAATATTTACGTTTCGATTTACAAAAAAGAAAACATTTTTCTGGAATTTTTTGTTTCTAGAAACACTTCAGTCAAATGAGTAAAGTAAATGATTTCATTAAAAAAGGTGGAAAAAAAATTATAACAACTGAAAAAATTATTAAACGACATGGAAGTTAGTTTATATTATTGATTTATATTCTTAGGTGTTCTTGGTCTTTGTGCAATTGTTCTTTCAAGTCCATACGATATCTCATATTATGCACCGGTTGCATTAATGCTTCTATGTAAACATTCACATGATCCCGATCTTATTCAAGTTAGTTAGCTATTTGACGATGTTGATTATGTTGATGTATTTTTTTTTAAACTAGAAATCAGTTAAAAAAGCTTTATCAGAATTTCATCGTACTCATCATGATTCATGGCATCAACATCGAGAAAAAAAATTTACGGACGATCAACTTGTTATCTTCGATGATGCATTAATATCGCTAAATTATTATGAAGCTATTTATAAACAATATCCAACAGACAAAGAGAAGTGGCTGCATATCGAGGTGAACAAAGTTGCAATTAATTTTTAATGCAGCTTTATGAGTTCTGTAAGTGAATAATTTTATACTCAGTTTTATATACTTTGCTTCATATAATTGAACTATTTCGTATTCATCGTTCGAAATCTTGCAATTAAACCTGATAATATAATAGCAGATGATTTGAATAGAGCATGACTAATAATAAGAGCACGTCGAAAGAATTTTATTAAGTCTAGTCTGTTATAAAATTTTCGTATCAAAGAAGATGTCTACAGATCTATGACAGTTGTTGCTAATACGATCGAAGATCGTTTATTACTAACATCTCATTAGAATATATGAAATACTTTCTAATCGTCTTTATAAAGATTTAAATAAAAGATGACGAAGAAAGTTGTCTCAAAATAGATCAACAACTTTAGAGAGAAAACTTCCAATACTAATTCCTATCTGTAAAAGCTTAAATATCATTTTCATACTATGATTATGTTTTAAAAACAAAACATAATGAAGAAAAAAGAACTACAAATAATTGAAGTCATTTTAACATTTGAACTATCGCAATAAGCAATTTTCGAATTTTTATCGTTACAAACGAGTGCATTATGTTCTTCCTCCATATATATTGTAATCATTAAATCCATATTACTAATGAAATTTAATATTTAATCGTTCACTTCTCCTCTCAACATTTCTATCTCATTCATTTTCCATCTAACTGATAATTGCTTTTTTCTTCTTTCAAAGAAAATATAACTCTGTGATGAATATGCATACATAAACTATTAGTTGTACTTCTATTCTTCGTCAGTTTTTTGTTAGAAGAATTGAAATCGAGATACTGTCATTATTTGATCGAACAAAAGTGCTACTTTCTTATTTTACTTAGTTTTTTCATTGCGTATTCAAAGATTATCGAAAAAGCTTCATTGTAGCCAATTGTTTTTCTTATTGTTTGAAAAAGCATATCAAGTTGCAGGACACTTTCTTTGAGTTTCCAGGTCGAACACTTTGGGTCGTAAACGGCGGTGTACCGATTATTTAGGGTCACGAACGGTGAACCCTTTCTGTGGCCGTGTACAGTTGTCGTAAACAAAGATTTACGATGGATTACAGTGACCGTAAACGATCATCGTGCAGAACTGCCGTAAATACGAACCATCAACCGTTGTAAACGGCCATATACTGCTGTTTCAGGTCATCGTAATGCTCGACCTGGATTAAACAATTTTGTTAGTACATAAAAAGAGATACTTCTAGAAATAGGTGGACATCATTCGAGCTATTGAACTTGATGGCATTTTTCTCCATATAAAAATTAAGTCTTTAAGAAAAAAAGAGAATCGCAGACTGATATATTATTTTAAATAAAAATAATCTATATAGAATGAGGATAACAGAGAACTTATAGTTACTAAACGAGCTAACTTCGACTCTTGTTTGTTAAATGTCTCTCGAAAACACAATAATATAGAACTTTAGTGGGCTTAAAATCAGTGTTTGATGGCGTAACATATACGAATATCAGTTGTTTAAGAAGAAACAAAAAAGTATATTTGAGACAATAGTTTTTTTTTTTTATCTAGACGTCCTTGATAGCTGATTCCTATGTATAAACGATTATACAATTTCTTATATCTAATATATGAACCATACTGGGATTGTTTATAACCATATGAGTATCTTCTTTAATAATTGTGTGAATATTTTTGTATATTTATTTCTATGTTGTTATTTTATACTTATACAAGAAACTATTGACGGCGCCAGATTTAAATGAACTCCACTGTTTTTTGAATATCTCGACATTAATTTGAGCTATTGATCTCTTCAATAATGTATAGGATGAAATCCTTTTAAAACTAATCATCTTCGAAAAACATGCAAAAGAATACATGAAAATGACCTACCATCTAGATGAAATTTCAATATTGACTTTTGATTTAGAGAGAGACTTCACATTTATAGTTCAAGGTATAATGCACTTTCTTACTTTTCATTACTTTTTCATCGAAAAATCAAGCTATTATGTTAAAAAGTACGAAAACTTACTAAAAAACTCAGTATAATTTCCTATTATTTGCGTATGTAAATACATGATTCTATTTGCTCAACATTAGAATGCAATAAGAGAACTAATTGTATTGTATCCTGAACTATAGATGTGAAGTTCCTCTATCTAAATCAAAGGTCAAAATCAATATTTCATCTAGATGATAGGTCATTTTCATGTATTCTTTTACATGTTTTTCGAAGATGATTAGTTTTAAAGGGATTTCATCTTTTACATTATTGAAGAGAATGATATTCTGACTTCTTCTTCTCTTTCAATTAGTGAAAACTTCAGATCGATAGCTCAAACTAGTGTCGAGATATTCAAAAAATAGTGGAGTCCATTTAAGTCTGCCGCCAACAATAAATATAAATAAATATGAAAATTTCATTTGAACAAAAAAGAAGTCAGACTCATTGAAAAATACTTCGATAGCAGTAAAACTAATACAGAACCAAGAGAAGAGAATATCAACGAAAGAATGCATATCAAAGATAAAACATCATCTAACATTATTATAACAAACAGCTCTTATAGAAATTTAATTATTATGATATTGCTTAAAGAACATTTCGAACCACTACGGTAGAACTATGTTTTTATTTCTTTAGTGAAAATTAACAAACGAAAACATAAATTGGGTGTGAATATGGGTAGCTGTGTATAAATTGAAGAACTGTTTACACTCACATCCATACCCTTGTCTCTATGAGTCTGCGCATTGTTCTGTTGGAGAAAAAATTCTATCATAGTTTATACTTTGCAAAGCTTCGTCGATTTCCATAGTCCATTTTTCTTTGACATCTTGACGAACCTTTTGTTCTCAGCAAATGATCCACTGTTGGGTAGTTAGATCAGCTTGTCACTAGTGTATCCATTTACCCAACCACCACTTGATTTTTGTTATTATTGCTTCCTCTTCAACATCTTCAATATTGTGTAGGTTAAGCAGAACACGAGCATTCTCATACGAACAAAATTGATTGTTCTCAGGGTGTTGGAAAAGCTATCGAATGGCTGCGTTGTCATGTTACAAAAGATGAACTATTTCAACACGACCAAAGAAAGCGGCAGCATGGAGAGCAACTCCACGATACTTTATCTACATTCACCTCCCAAGATATCTGCTTCACGGTTTTAACTGATAACAATGCGTTCTCGAAAATGAATAGATAAATTCATTATTTACTAGAAGTTTTGAAATAGATAGAAGATCTCTCATAGGATGACGTTGAATAGACTTTTGCTTGATACACATGAAATTACAAAATAAGATCCAGGTAATACAATACTATTCGGATATTGATAGCGATACAGTTTCTCGCAGATTATTCCGCCTTCGTATGAAATTCATATAACAAACAGTTTGAAAATGTGAACAAGCAATTTTTAGTATTTGTTTTGTTATTTGACTAATTTTTGATAAAAATAATATATTTGTATTCAGCAAGAAGAACTTTATCATGTTGACTATGAAACATTCAAATTAACATTAGAAAATTATTGTCAATTCGTAAGAAAGGATAGTCCAATGAAAAAAATTCAGAAATTCAATTAAGTAGAAAAAATTTCAAGAATGGAATTATTGATTAAAAATATGAGAAAGTATTATTGGAGTTAAGTTTTGTGATATGATAAATAATAAAATTGATAATTCTCCTTTTTCATTATTCGTTGAGTACCTTTGCCATTTATTCATTCAATCAAGCAATTTCTGGAAAAGTAATTTCATATGCTACAGAGTTATCAAGATATAATACCGAATTAGACAATCAACGAAGAATCACACTTTATGTAATTCAGTTTACTTTACTTTAATTTCTTAATTAAAGATAAGAAGTCATCTCTATAAAGAATCTAATAACTTGCTACTAAAATATGAATTTTCTTATTATTAAACAATACTGATTATCATTTAATGAGGATTACTACAACAGATGTAAAAAAAAGTAATACTTCATTTGATTTATCTCCTTCACTTTCGAAACTGAAAATGAAGTTATTGAGATCTAATGAAACTCTTTGTCCTAATATTATTATAGCTCTTAGTTTAATTTGAAGCAAATAGTCAATGTAAACATTTATGTATTGAGAATAGACAATACTGAAAGAATATCTATGCCCATCTAGTTATTATATGACATATCTTAGTTTGTTTTTAGAAAAAAAAACTTGATCGAATCTTGAATCAAAGTAGCTAACAAGTTGAAAACTCTCTTTGCTAGACATAAATACGTTTTTTATTGGCAAGCATGGTCATGCAGTTATTCTCATTTCTCAGTGTGCATTGTTCGTCGTTATTACTCACTATATTTTATGCATGAGTCTTGCAACCGCGTCTACGTTCACATTTGTTTGACGTTTCTTTCAAATCTCAAAGTAAAGTATAGTGCAACATAACGACAGGTGTAAAAGAGAATGGAGTACGAAATAATTTTTTCTTTACTTTCATCTTTTTCACTCGAATATAAGACATACTAGGACGTAATAAGTCATTAACATTCTATATAAAACCACTAACTTAAGCAACAATATGAAAAATTGTTGAAAAAATTGAATGTTTGTTTAATGAAAAAAACAAATATATTAATTGAAGCTAGCTGCGTTATAAATTAGTTTAACCAGATTAATGCATTCCAGTTTTATTGATTCATGTGTTCATTTTATCAATCTGATTGAATCGTTTTGATTAAAACTCATTTTTCTTCAACTTACATGAATTGAAAATCCATTGTAACCCATAAAATTGAAAAACATCAATTTTTATATTCTTTTCATTCTTTGCACCTCCCCGTACTCTCTGTCTCTTTCGTGATCAGATAGATAGATATATATAGAGAGAGTTGTATGATACTTTGTATAAAACGAACATCGAATAATTGATTAAAAATCAAGTTTTACACCTTTAAAGCTGTTTCCTCATACTTTCTGACAAAACAAAGTCATTGTCATTTGTTATAAACGAATGTTTCTTGGATCATCGTTGCCTAAGAAC